AAAAAAAAAAATTGGGATTTCTGACATGTTTCAAACACGAGCAGAGATTTTGAAAGAGCCTGAGCCAGGGCCTTCTTTCTCCCAGCTGGTACATGATCACCTGTCTCAGCTTTCAAAGGAGTTTGAGCATCGCTTCCCAACCAGAAGACTCCAGAACTGAGAAAGAATTAAACTGTGCCCTATTGTGAATAAGCCAGTTCTGTTGATTTGGTCCATTCTGGAGGAAGATCAACTGCAGAGGAGGTGGCCTGAAAGTATGTTTGAGATGACTTCAAACCTCCATACATTCTGGCTTAAAGTTAAGGCAGAAAAGCCTGAGATTGCCATGAAAGCACTGAAAATCCTGCTTCCGTTTTCAACATCCTTCCAACATCCTGTCTTTCTTTATGAAGGAGGGTTTGCTGCAGTGACAGCAACCAAAAGGAGATTATGGAGCAGACTGGACATGAGCAACACACTCCAGGGTCACTGTCTCCCATCACTTCACATGGGGCCCTCTAGTTTCAGGAAAACAAGCTCAGGGCTCCCACTGGTTCTGCATCATAGCAAGTTGTATAATTATTCCATTAGAAATTACACTGTAATAATATAAAGTGTACAATAAATGTAATGTGCTTAAATCATCTTGATCTCCCTACTCTTGTCTGTAGAAAAACTGTCTTCCCCAAAATCAGTCCCTGGTGCAAAAAAGGCTGAAGACCACTGGTGTAAGGTGCTCACCACTGACAGCTGCCCATCAACAAAGACCCTCTGAGAATCAGGTTCCTGTCTGGATCTTCTTATTCCTGTTGCCAAGCACAGAGCTTTGCAAGGATCAGGAAATCCAAACATCTGTGGACAAACTCAGCTGGCCATGGTAAGAGCTGGTATTCTTTTAATGGGGAGGATCACTTCCCAAGTTTCTTCCATTCAACCTGCCTTCAAAACCGGTCCCTTTCCTGGTTGCTGTTTTTACTTGCAAGGTGCTTTTGTCTGCATTATCTTGATTGATCTTTATCACAAAGTAACAGGAAAGCAGGGTCCAGTGCTACTTCTGGGTGGGAAACCAAGGCACAGAAGACTGTAAAACCTCCGAGAGCACAAAAGCCACCGGCCCCGTGGCGTGCAGGGCAGCTCTCTGCTGCTCCTCCACACTCCACGCGCTGCCCTTCTCTTCCTGTGGCCGCAGCTTCCCCTTTCTTGCCCCATCTTTTTGGCCTTTCATCTCCTTCTTTGCACACCAGAGATCCATGGCCTCTGTAAAACTGGCTTCCTTCTGAGCTTGTGGTCTGGGGCTCCCTTGGGTGGGTGAGGACCCCCAGAAATACCAGCTTGAGACACAGGATCACTTTAGCCAAGGTGCCCCTGATTGCCAGGTGCTGTCCACCTGCTCTACTCCATCGTAGATGCCCCACACTACTTGGGTCTGGGCTTGGACTCACCACGGAGACATGACTGGCCCTGTGGTCGCCAGTGCAGGAGAAGAAAATTTACAGTCCACAGCTCCTTCCCTCAGCATGGTGTTGGAAGAAGGGTTGGATGCAAGCAGATATCCAGCTAAATTCCAATCTTGGTTCTTCTCTGACCACGGGCTGCCCCTTCTGCCTTTTTTTCTGGGTTCTCATTTCTTTCTCCTGACTAGTCAATGCTGGAGACCCTGGGACTTTCTCTGCTGACTTTTCCTTCTCAACTCTCTCCCTAGATGATCTCTCCAACCTTGCCATCCCACCAATGACTCACCACCTGTCTTCTGAACTCAGGACTGATACATGCAACTGCTTACTTAATGCCACCACTTTGATGTCTAAAAGGAAATCCCTGTATCTGAAGCTAAATCCTTGACTGGCTCCTAACCTCACCAAACCCACCCTGCCTACAGTAATCCTCATGGCTGCAATGCTGATTTCCTTCCATCTTTGGAGAAACCCTTGTTGCCTATCCTTCTCTCTCTCCCAAGTCTCACTCATGCTTGCTCCTACATTTGAAATGTACATCCACTTGCCTAGCTTTCTCTTCCCCATTCTGGGTCTGGGCCACAGCATCTGCCAGGTGGGTGACTTCGTGAGCACCCTAACTTCTCTCACTGCTTCTGTTTTTACCCTCCTCTGTGAGAGAGGAGACCACCCCTTCATATGAAATTGGGCAACTATGGGTTAACTGTGTTATTAGGCAACTATGGGTTAACTAGGTAACTATGCTCTTTGTAGAACGCACCTGAGTAGCCATGACGACTTCTGTAATCTGTCACCAGAGGAGCATAACGGACTCAGAAAGTCCTTCCAGAATTCTTTGCTCTCCCCCCACCTTCCACTGCTCTGCTTTGTGTAAATCCTGCTTGCTGTATTCCCAGGGAAACTCCAATGGAATTAAGTTTTGTAGGTGTAAAAAGAGGTATGCAAAGAAGAGCAAACTTGTACTTGGGCCTCTCGAGATTGACAGGAGTCACTCACTGAGCTACCAGCATTAAAAGCCACTTTTTGATCCTATCTTCATGTTAAGAGTGGTCTGTCTGGGATCTTCACAGTTTCTTGCTTCATCTGGACTACTTCTGCACAGGATGGTATGTGACAGACAATCTGTAGTGGGTTGTATGGCCACCCCAAAATAGTTAGCTCCACCTTCTATAACCTGCACCCAGTGAACGTGACCTCCCTTTAAAAAATATGGTGACTATTAATCCTGATGTGTTAAACTTTATTAGATTAAGAAACACCTGGCATATTAGTTAAGCATGAGCCTGAGTATGTCTTGGTAGGTCATAAAGGGGTGACCTTGGCTACTATATCTGATCCTCTGTCCCTTCCTGTCTGGAACGTGGTCCTGACCACTATGAACTAAGATTCTTTGTTCCACCATGCCCTTCCACCATGATGTTTGTGCTGTGGAGCCAGCTGACCATGAACTGAATCTCCTAAAACCCTAAACCTAACTAAACCTCTCCTCCTTGAAGTTGTGGGTGTCAGCTATCATGCTCAGTAATGGGAAAGCTAAATAATGCAAAGTCTTTGCAGATGGCACTGTAGACCTTGAGATGACATCACCCTAGATTATCTGAATGGCCCCAAACCTAAGGACAAATGACCTCAGAAGAGGAAGAGGAAAAGAGAGAGACACAAAGGAGAGATCAGTATGAAATTAGAGGCAGAGATGAGTGGCACACAGCTACAAGTCGGAGGATTCCTGGAGCCCCCTAAAGTTGAGAGGAACAAGGAAGGATTCTCCCCCTGCAGCCTCCGAGTACCTGTGGCTAAGGAGAGAGAGCCTGGGAGACCAGCAGGAGGATTCTGTAAGAAGAATCCTACACACCCAGGCTTGCTGGCTCCTGGAGGGAGCAAAATACATTCCTCACGCTGCTGGTTAGGGTCATGACCTCAATGAAGGAAGCAGGGGATTCTCCATATGGGGAGATGTTTCACACTGCTTCTTTTGTTTTACATACAGGTAAAGTGCCTAGAGCAATGTAGGCGGTCAAAAAACTGCAGTTGCCAATCATCAGTATCATAACACTGTGAAAAACAGAATGTGAGCTCCTCAGAAGAGATTGTGTGTGTGTCAAAACAAGGAAAAGGTGCTGAGGTTGCTGGTAAGTATTGATATTTGGTTTCTTGGTCACTGCGTTCAGAGGCCCAAACACTGAACTTCTTTGTAAGGGCTCATGCATGAAGCCTCCATGGAAGCTGATTTCAAGTTTGAAAAGGTAAAAATGGCCTTGATTTTCAAAACAGGTTGGGAAAGCGAAGGCTCAAGACTCTTTGGGAAGCATGTGAGCATAACACGACAGGTGAACCTTTGGATCCGTGTTGGACAAACCTAGCCTAAACTTACTTAGGAAACACTCAGGCATGGTCATGCACGCCTAATCTCAGCGTTCTTGGGGGCTGAGACAGGAGGATCAAAAGCTTGAGCCCGGCCTGGGCAACTTGGTGACTTAGTGAACAGCTGTGCCAAAATTTTCAAAAGGGAGAAGAGGCTGGGGATGTAGCTCAGGCCAAAGGACCTGGGTTCAATTCCCAGTCCTACCAAAAACAGTCGTAAAAAATCAGACTCTGGGGACTGATGGTATTAAGGAGCTGTAGTTTTTAGGTGTGAGAATAGCATGCCGGTCATTTCTTAGAGGTTGTGTCTTTTAAAGTTGTGTGCTGAACTGTTCGCAGGAGAAGGGGTATGATGTTTTGGACCTGCCTTAGAGCAAGCCGGTAGGGAGAGCTGCTGGGCATACAAAACAAGGCTGGCCGTGAATTGAGGATTACTAAGGCTGGATGGAGGTTGGGTGCCTGGGAGTTCACTATTCTCTTCTATTCTTGAACTAGTTTGAAATTTCTCATAATGACAAGTTTAAAAAGAATAAAAGTATGCTCCCAGAAATAGAAATTATTGACTCTGAGTGTTTCCAAAGCATTTAGAACGTACTGTCAACTTGCTTTCCACAAAGGCCATGGCAATCTACAACCCCAGGAGGGGTGTGCAAAAGCACTGAGGAGACAATGTTCTAAGAGAATATATAATCGCTTGGGCAAGAGTGAGAACGCGTGTTCCTGTGTGGCCCACACCCTGAGAAAGATTGACGACCTGTTATGGGATCTCGGGGCCGAGTCGGGCAGTGCCTCTGCAGCTTGCACCTGAACAGCAGGAAAAGTGATCAAAGAGGAAGTGGAGTTCAGCACTCAGATTTACACCACTCCAAGCTGCCCCCACGAGGGCTTCCTGTGATATTTCTGACACCATTTCGGAAGATCTTCCTGAATATCCATGGAGGTAGGCACTTAATGGGAAAATCCGCAATTCCATCTTCTCAGGAAAACCTGATTATCTTCAAGAGGTTTCCTTATAGGAAAATGGGGACAAATCAGTGCCTGGGTTTCCCTGCCTAGCATAAAAGGGAATTTATTTGCAATCGGGTAATTCCACACGCCTATAATTTTCCAATTACACTTGATTGTAGTGCTGCGTTCCTGCCTTGGTCTTAAAGGATGGTCAGCACTTTTCTGCAACCACAGCCAACTTGCAGACAAAGCAGCCACTTATGTCGATGGCTTGTTTATAATCAGCAGCTCTCTGGACATGTGGCACATCCTCGCCTTACAGGGACTTTCCCTGACCCCCGCCACACTGGGTAGCAGGTGAGTGCCCTGCAGTGCAGGTGACAGGTGTATATGTGTACAGTCACATCCAAGTTCAGCTGCTTGTCCACCCCACAGGTCCTAAACATCGGACACTGTCCTACAGCCTGGTACCAAAGAGATAACTACCGCATTCCCCAAAAACAAGACCTAACCAGAAAATGAGCCTCACATGACTTTTCAGGATGCTCATAATACAACCCCTACTCAAAAATATGCCCCAGTTAAGATCATTGGCCAGACAGATGCATTTAATGTGCCTATTGCCATACACAGAAGATGTGTTGAAATAAAAAATAATGCTAATACATAATTAAATATAAATAAATAACATTATTGACAGTAACACTTAAATGATAATTTACATTATAATTAGGTATTTGTAATTAGCTAAGCGTGTGCCTTTGAACAAGAGGTAAACATCTATGTAAACAGATGAACTTGAGACTTACTGCCGAGTGACCAATGGGAGCACAGACACAACGCATGAGTAACGTGCACTTGGTAACAAACGGACGTGTCTGTGTCCGATGCGAATCTTCATAACTCCGTATGTCGTGTGCTGTAACCACGCCCTGCAAGCAGGCTACTGGACAGAAGTGCTCGTTTCAGGACAGCTCTACTGCTGGACGTGAGGGACTGGGGCCAAAGGTTCCACAGGAAATAGAACTGCAAAAGCTTCAGGCCCGATGATGCTCCAGAAGAAGATGACATGAATGTATTTGAATAAATGCAGTTTTCTGTACATAGATAAACCTAGATTTTTGTACAGGAATAAATGTAGATTGTTGTACATGAGAAAAGACATTTCTCTATTGAATCTTTTGGAGCAAAAATTAATACAAGACCTGGTATTACTGTGTGGGAAATGTGGTGAGTCAGAACCCCTGCACCTGGGACAGACACAGGGACAAATAATTAAACACTGCTTGGCAACAGTGCCAGAGCAGTGTACCGAGGAGACGGGGGCACAAAACAGATGTTGCCATCAACAGTTCAGAGGAGCGTCCTGGAGGAATGAGGCTGGGCAGTCACTAAGACCTAGAGGGCTGTCAGAGAGAGAAGGGCCGCCCTGGCAGACAGCAGCGTGTGGGGCTTGGCGTCCTGCTGGAGCCGGGGAGGAACTCCGTGCAGAGGACACATCCAGATCATGCCAAGCCAGAGCACCTCAGCAGAGGAGCTGACTGATACCCAGCACCCATTAGGATCCTCAGCCTTCCAGGAGAAGAGCACCTTCCTGCTCCCTCGTGGGCTTCACAGAGTGCCCCTGAGAAAGTAAGGCGTTGGGAAGTATTTTACAGCAGAGAGGTCTGACCAATGCAACTTCAGCCAGGGGACCAAGGTTAATATCAACAGTCGCAAATCACGGACATCACCCATCCTCAACACTTTGGGCAGCAGAAGCTGGTTTTGTGGGAGACAATCTTCCCACTGGGAGGGCTGGCAAGGGGATGGCCTCAGAATGATTCAAGAGCATAACATTATTGTGCACTTTATTTTTATTATTATGACATTAGACTCTCATAAGGAATGGGCAGGCTCCATCCCACACATGCACAATGCATTAGGGTTCGAGTTCCTAGGAGGATCTAATGCCGTAATGATCAGACAGGAGATGGAGCTCAGGTGGGGATGGAGTGGTGGGAAATGGCTGGAAACACAGCTGGAAATGGCTGCGCTTGCTCCCACCCCTCACCTGCTCCTGGGCAGCCCAGTTCCTAACAGGTCATGGACCCCTATGTGGATGGTGTGTGCTCTTGATGTTATATGATGAAACTGTCACTTTATCTCTGCAGTCTTCTTTCCAATAACCCCAAACACCAGTTTAATCATGAGAAGGAAAAAAATCAAACAAATCCCAACAGAATGACACTCCACAAAATACCAGACCTGTGTTCCCCAAACTGTCAAAGACACCAAACACCAGGCAAATCAGAAACTGTTGCAGCAAGAGCAGCCTAAGGAGATGGCACAGCTAAATGTGATGTGGCAGCCCGGACAAAGTCCTGCATCTGAAAAAGTCACGGGATGAAAACAAGAGAGCTGCGCAAAGCACAGGCTGCAATTGATTGTAATGTATCAATGCTGGTTTATTGGTTGTAAAAATTATGCCAAACTAACGTGAGATGTTAATGGTGGGGAACTTGTGCAGTCTGTGAGAACTCTCCATACTATCACCTCCACTTTTTGATAAATCTAAAACTGTCCTAAATAATAAAGTATGTTAATTTTTTTAAAAATGAAGACAAGAGACATAGCCAGGCCAGACTGTGGGCTTGACCCCAAGTGGAACTTCAAGAAGGAGCAGCAAGGGAACCTAAGGACCCAGGGGAGGTGAGTGTCCAGCAGAGGGGAAAGGTATGTGGAACCAGGAATCTGAAGTCCCGAGCATAGGCAGCTCAGAGACAGTCCTCTTATAGACCAGGAAATGCAAATGGTGGAGAGGCTCAGCAGCAACGGGCCATTTGACCAGAAGAATCCACAGCTGGATTTTGCTTTAAGTGACTTTGTTTAATGGCAAATGAAACTTGGGAAAGGTACTCTGAGTCACAGGGTGATGGCTAGGAGGAGAAGCAGAGTAGAAGAAGGAGGTGTCATCCAACAGAGATTTTAACACTCTCAGGACCTAGATTTAAAAATACTAATATTATTTCCAAGATATCCATCAACAGGTGAATGGACAAAGAAAATGTGTTGTCTACACACAGTGGAGTACTACTCTGCTGTAAAGAAGGATAAACTTGAGTCATGTGTAGGAAAATGGATGCACCTGGAGACCTTAATGCTAAGTAAAATAAATCAGACACACAAACTTCAATGTCACATGGTTTCTCTTCTATGAGAAACAAAGTACAGACAAAAAGCAAAATAAAAGTTCGATAATAGGAAACAGGGAGACAGTTTTCTCAAAGATGAAGGAGGGGGGGAGGGAGGGAAGAGAAAGGAGATGAAAAAATAAAGATGGTTTGTGTGCATGGATCAATTCCACACAAGGAATGCAAACAATATGTACTGCAAGCACGTACTAATAAAAATAAAACACTAATACTGTAGGGGACATCATTGGTGGGAACATGTTAATGAGATGGAAGGAATTCAAAAACCTCATGGGGATTTTAAAACTCAAATTACTCTTTTTTCTTTCCTGGTAAAATTCAAAAGATAATCAATCTTCCCTGAAAACAAGGAAACTGTCTTGACATACAGAGGTCAAGTCCTGCTATAGATGGTGGGTTGTTTTGTTTTCAGTGCTAGGGATTCAACCCAGGCCCTTCACATTGAGCTGCATCCCCCATCCCTTTTCATGTTTTAATTTTGAGACAGAGTATCTCTCTAGATGTCCCCCCAAAGCCTCATGTGCTCACAGGTGGAGCTTTTCAGAGGTGCTGGGACCCAGGGTGTATGGGGGTGGGATTAAGGGTGTGATTACTAAGTTAGTCCACTGAATGGCTAAGCGTAGTTCTGGGTGTGGATAATGGGAAGGCCCAGCTGGGTGTGGGTGGCACCACCCAAAAGGCAGGTACAGTACAGGGGCTGGGGATTTAGCTCAGTGGTTTTGCTGCCCACTACGCAAGGGCAAGGACCCAAGTTCGGTCCCTGGTACCCACCCCCAAAAAAGATTCTCCCAAAAGGCAGGTAGCCTGGAAGGATTAAAAGGGAGAAGCTTCTCCCTCATGGGGCTGCTGCATCTGCTGCTTCTGCTGCTTCGCTGCTTCACTGCTTGCTGTTTTGCTGTCTTCTGCCTGCCATGGACTGTTTCCCCTCTGCAATGTCCCTCTGCCAGGCCACCCTGCCTGGGAACCAGCTGACTATGGACTCAGACCTCTACAAACTGTGAGCCAAAATAAATCTTTCCTCCTTTAACTTTGGATGTTGGATATTTTATCTCAGCAACAAGAAAAATAACTAAGATAGTTGCTAATTCTATAAATTGCCCAGGCCGGGCTCCAACTTGAAATCCTCCTCTCTCAGCCTCCCAGGGTGCTGAGGCTGCAGGCATTTACCACCATACCTGGTCCAACCTTTTGGCCTGCCTGTGCACAGTGAGTGAAGAGGAAATGTCTTGGGCCAAACTAAAATAGATAACACAGTTAAGGTATATAAGTAACACAATTTCCTTTTATTTTTAATATTTTAACTTATTATCTTATAAACTAACAGAAGTCCAAGTTCAGTAATTGAATAAGAAAACTTACATGTTTGTTTAGTAACAACAAACGCCTGTCTTTACATGCATTCGCACCTGTGGGCAGGTTCAATATCACTACCGGCAGTTACCGCGTTCTCCTCTTGAGTCATCCAAGCGCATGTAGGGTCTGTACGTGCAGTGTGGACAGGGCTGAGTGTGTGCGGTGAGGCCGGTGGGACCTGCACAGAAGCCCCTCTGGGGTGTGCCACGGTCAGCCACTCACAATGCTCAAGGCCCAAACAATTGAGTCGTGAGAAACGTGGCCAAGCATCATGTGATTAAGTTAAAAGTTTGCCATTTCAGTAGGGAGTAGGGGCCACCCCTGTCATCCCAGCTCTCAGCAGGCGGAGGCAAGAGGATCGCCTTAAGTTCAAGGCCAGTCTGAACTATATAGCAAGATCCTGGTCAAACAAAACAAAATTTTACCATCTTATGGGGCCACATAACTCACTGTCTGCTACAGACTGGACCTGCTCTAGAATTTTAGCATTAAAAACCTTTTATTGAATGAATTAGTGAAAAACTAACAATCGCAAAGCCTTAAGTGTCCTCATATGAACTTGTGCAGTAGGTAATTAAATCAAAATTGATCTTCTTGATTCTTTCATACAAATCTGATTCTAAAGCTCACTGTGGGAGTAGCTGGGCACAGTGGCACATGCCTGTCATTGCAGCTCTCTGGGAGGCTGAGGCAGGAGGGTCACACATCTGAGCCCGACCTGGGCAACTGAATGATGTATTGACCCAGTCTCAAAAAGAAAAATAGAAAAGGGCTGGGGATGCAGCTCAGTGTGGAGGCCCTCATTTTCGTTCCCAGCACCAAAACTAACAATAAAATAAAATTTCCTGGGGATAGACCATAGCCAAATGCCTTTTTGAAAGCCATAGAGCAAATAGTATGTTCACACTGTCCCGCAGTGAGTCCTCTTGCTAAGAGAAACACTTCTTATTAAAGAAAACAACCACCAGAGAGATAGATCTGTTGTTGAAAATGATCCCAGTAGCGATTTGAACCAAATGATGCTTCCAACAATCTAGCACTTGGA